AGGAGAAACAGGAAGAAAATTGGAAACCAGATTAACAGAACACAATAAAAACTATCCCATGTTTTTCACCATTGCAACTCAAAAAAAACCATAGTATATATATATATATTAAATCATAAAATATATATATATATTAAATCACAGTCATTTTAAACAAAGAACCCAAAGTAAACAAAAGAAAAATCAAGGAATCCATCTTAATTGAACAAAACAACCCTACTCTAAACCAACACCCCAGGGTGCCTAGATACCTCTTCTAAGTTTCACAACAGTTCCAGTCATGTGACTTCTTTGTTCAATACTGTATATATATATATATCCGTGTCAATGTAAATTACTTGTACATGATGATGACAAAACCTTGTCGAAACGTTGTACATTTGCTGTTATATTAAGTTTTTCTTCATTACCCATTCAAGCCATCTCCAGCCATTATTATATCTTGACTACAATTACAAATAATTAAGTAGCTAGTTAGCTAATTTATTTGTGCAAAATTTTTTGAATATGATAAACATAAAAATAATATTCAAAAAAGATTCTAATCATCAAAATAATTTGAGCTAAATAATAATTTGATAACTAAACAGTAAACTTGTATAAACTTAACTTATTCAATGACAATTTTATTTTATTTGGTGATAATAGAAAAGAACTCATGTTTATAAATGTTGTAACTCAAGAAAACCATAGTATGTGTATTGAAAAATAAAAACTATAACTTTAAACATATATATGTACATACATACATATATAGATATATACTATGATGTGATAGTCTAATTCCATTTGTATTTAAACTTTTTTTTTTTTTTTCAAAGCTTTTCATTATTAAATGTTGAACCCACTTTATATGGCACCATAAGAATGTTTTTCAATGAAGACCTGTAAAAAAACTAAGGGAACCATTTGAAAATCAAGAAATGGATAATATATTCTCAAGGGGTGATAGGTTATTAGGAAAAATAAAGTTATTGTTTGGGCTGGGCAGAAAATTTTTTTAAAAATCAACAAATGGGTTTTTCGTTTTCAGGCAAAAACTATGTAGATGTGCAGAAATGAAAATATGAATTTTTATTTTCATGACTTATACTAAATAAATGAGAGAAATTGATAAAATTTTGATTCTTGAATATTTGTGAGTAAAAAGTGCTGAATGATAGTTGGAATTAACATATAAAATTGACTTTAAAATTTGTCTCACAAAATTTTATCAAGTGTGAAAGATGTGAAAAACCAGAGGAAATTCTGTCTTCTGGTTTCAGGCACAATAATTTAGTTGCTTTTTCAATTCTAAACTTTATGCATGAAAATATATCATACACACAAAGTTTAGAACAACAAAAAATTGAATTATTTATCAGTCACTATTTGCAAAAAATACCATGTAACTTTTTTGAGACTTGTTATTCCAAAACATTTAATATTGCTTTACATGTTCATGAGCATGTTTAAAAAAAAAACAAATAGGGACTTAAGTGTTGTATCTATAAGAAGTTACTCAAATACTTTGTAACCAGCCAAGGGATATGAATAATCATAATTAATTAGGCAAATGAGTACTTAGCTAAAGTAAAAACCAAGTATTTTTAGATATTTAAGTAGCCTAAATTTAAAGTCAAGCAACATAAAAATTAATGTAGCATTAATTTATTTTGTGAGATAAAATAGTTGATAGTTATAGCTATCTTACAAAGTTTAAAAATCAATAGGGAATGGATAAAAATAAAACTAGAAAGTTTATTCAGATAATATGATATTATTGTGTTAACAAGTACCAGCAAATTTTTCACTTCCTCACACTGGCTGCTATAATGTTTCATTTTTACAGTGAGGGTATGATATAAGCTAACTTTTTAAGTTAGTCATGTAATATTGTAACTAAATTTTCAATATTTTTTACATGTAAAAAAAAAAAAGACTTCCAGTATAATAATAATAATACAGTATTTTGGATTAATCATTGTTGAAGGTGTAGTCCTAAAGTAAACTAAGTAAGTCAAAGTAATATTAATATATTCTGTAAATGATTGGCAAAGTCAGGTTATAATACAGCAGTTGGAAAGTTTATATCTTTATTTATAGTAATATGATTTATATGAAATGAATAGTTGAAAACAATCCATATGGGTTAATCTCAAATGGTAATTTTTTAAATTATTGCAGCCCTGTCAAATTAAATGTTTTTTGCAAGTTAATATGTTGGATTTACTTCCTGATTGGGTTAACCCCTAATTGTTTGGTTAGATCTGTCAGAAAATGCATTTAGAGTACTGTTTAGTGAAAAAAGTCCTCTTTTGTCAAAAATTATGAGCTGTTATTGAAATCAATAGAAGTCAGTTGAGTTTTATACTTTTTGACAGTAACCAGTATATTAAATAGATTTGAGAAAAGGAAAACAAAATGAAACTGAGATCTTACACAAATAATTTAGGGGAATTCAAATTCGATGACGAGGAACCCACTTTGAGACTAATAATGGCTGGAGACGGCTCGAATGGGTAACGAAGAAAAACTTTAATATAAGTTTAACTGTCATGTTAAACTTATATTAAAGTTTTTCTTCATTACCCATTCAAGCCGTCTCCAGCCATTATTAATTTAGGAGAATGCTACAAATGGGACAAATTTAAGATATTTTCCTGATACGTTTTTTTTTTTTTACTATAGGCTGAAACTGTGTGTATATCATTATTCAAACTTAGAAGTGTGCAAGCTATTCTTATGATTCTAACTTAAGTCATATAATTTTGCCTTGGTAAATACTTCTTTTTCTTTCCTTAAGCTTCATTCCTTTGAATCTTTTCTTCCAGCTTGGAGATCTCCTGCTGTTTTCTCTCTCTCTCTCTCATCCTCAATCTATTTGTCTTCATCTTCTTCAGCCTCTTTGCTATTTGTCCATGCTTTGCCTTTGTTCAGTCTCTAGAATGAGGGCCTGACACTTTCACTGAGGTCATTCATACTTACCTGTTCTCCACCTTGATTTTAATTCTTCTTCTGTGGTGTTAAGTTGGTGTCCTTGGTTCTGGAATTTGTTGGGTGAGGATGCCTTACTTTCTGGAGTTTGCTTCCCTTGGCTTCATCATCACCTTATCAGTGTGGGTCTCTAGCTCTCAGTTCTTTGGAGAGGTGAGTAGCATTTCTGAAGTTAACATTTTCCTTAACAGAAAATGTTTTTTGGATAAATACTCACTTCTCCACAGAAATACCAACCCTTCATCCACATATTTGGTTTGTGTCTTTTGCTTCATTAAGAATGAGCCTTTGATATGCACAGCATGATTACTGTGAATGGAGGATGTTTCACCTAATTACCATCATGTGCATGTGCAAGTATCTTTTCAGCAGTGGTGTGAGGTAATAGATTTTAATTCTGTGGAGAGAAGTCAGTATCTATCAGAAATACTTTTTCAGGTATAGAAAATGTTTATACTACAAAAAAGCCAAGAGCCTGGAGAAAAACAAAATATTCAAATTGGATGTTAAACAAGAACACTAAAAAGTGATAGTAAATATCTAACTTTTTATATTATTGTTCATTTATACTTTTGGAAATATTTCCTTACTTGCACTACACTATTTCAGAGAATTTCAGGTTTTTTAGAAAGACCTCGCAATCATAAATGTCTTTGGTTTTTATTTCTTTGTTGGTTATTTTAAGGGTGACATAGAGGATTCTATAGGCTGAATGCTTTTCTTCAGCTTGCTTTATATTGTAATTTTTAAATTGTTAAAATATATTTTTATGAACCAATTAACTAATTACTGCACATTTTTTTGACACACTGGGAGTTTGATTAACAATTCCAACATGATTTTTCCCCAAATTCAGGCAAGTGAATTAGGCCTTAGTGACCATCATCAAAATGCTATTGTCAGTTTCTTACGTTTTGCAAGATACCAAAGAAACCAAAAGCTGCGAGTCATTGAATGCTGTTTTGAAGATTTAAAAAGTTCCAGGCAAGTTTACTATTCTGTGTTAGAAATACTCTTAATCATATACCTATAAATACTTGCTTTGTTCTTAATAGATAAATGATAGATGTGAAAAGATGTAATTTTTATATGCTTTGTTCTTAATAGATAAATGACATGTGAAAAGATGTAGTTTTTATTTGAAGCTCATTATAACTGAAATAAACCTTGGAGTTTTCAGTTACTGTAGTCAAAATTGATTACATTATTTAGATCAGTGATTTTGATTGTTTTTTCTGACTAATTTCAATCTCAAAAGTTTATGGACTGTTTCATACAATATTAACTTTTTAAAGTAATATTATATTGTATAAAATAAGCTGTCGTATGGGGCTAATTTGAACATGTTTTGGCATCAACATATGATCCTGAACATATGTTTTGGTTTCGATGACGAGGAACCCACTTTGAGACTAATAATGCTTGGAGACTGCTTGAATGGGTTGTGAAGAAAAACTTTAATATAAGTTTAACATGACAGCAAATGTATGACGTTTCAACAAGGTTTTGTCATCACCAGATGGCTGATGCTGCATCTCGGGGTTTATTTAACTTAAATATGCATTGAGACAGGATAACAGAAAGTGGGCCTGTCTCTATCAGTGCCCACTGTAAAATGAGGTTTTCTGCAAGACCACTTGAGATATCTTTATGGTATACATATCTACTCAGTCATCCAGTTCAGACCATACTTATTTCATGGACTATCATGTTATGCTCACTTCTTTGGCTTGTGCTTGCTGGCTTTTAAAAATATGGTTTGCAATCATCTATTGTACTGTCTCTAGTAAAAGACCTTTCTGATTGGAATCTGGGTACTTCTTCGGGGATCTCCCCAACACAATTTCTCTCCCCTTTTCTTCAAGCGGAACATGGGAAACCCTTACCACTTATCAGTTCCTTGCCATTGGGGAAGTAGACCATGGAGAATCCTCACCATATGGGCTTAGCACAATACAATGAGAAGTGGGATGGTGGTGAAACTGTCAAGTGTAGTGCCAGTCAATTACACAACAACATATCACATATCTATTTTGCCCTCCTCCTGCAGCCAGAGCTTGTTCAGTAGAGTCGAAGCGAACACACATTATACAGACAACGTAATACATACTAAAGTGCCCTCCTCCTGCAGCCAGTGTGTTCAGTAAAATTAAGTTGAGCACACTTGGTATAGTCTGAATGTGCCTCAACCACACTATGCATACTGGCTCTCCAACTGCTTGTGTGCAAGTACTCGATTGGTCATGTTTTCATTCTACATGTCTGTCTGACACATGTAAGTGTAAAGGGGGAGTTACTGCGCATGGAAGTTGTGTTGCCCTTCTATTGATGAAGAGCTTTTGTCAGATAATGAAAATCATGCACCAGCAAAGTTCATGTTAAAAACGTGAAATTAGGTGGGAGCTGCACCAAGGCTAGTGGCATGGAAATCTCATAGGCAGGTGCACAAGAAAGATAGCTATTCTATGTGTAGAGGTGAGTATCTGTCAGAAATACATTTCCAGGTAAGGAAAATCTAAACTTTTATTACTTATCTCCCACAAGTCACTGACAGAGGCCCTTTGTTTAACACCAGAACTCATCTGTTTGTGTGGACAATGCAAAAACAAAAGATTATCTAAAATACTATACATCAGATTCACCCAAGTACAGAGCAAAACAGGAATTACCCGCCAATAATAGATGAATATTGGATTTGTGTAACATGCAGTATAGTGTTTTTAAAGTTATAGTTTAAATACCAATAGCTGGTGAAGTTGTAATCACCAATAGGTTTAAAAAGCTTGCATGTAAACTACAGAAGTTTTCCCCACATTCCTCTTCACCTTCTAGGTCAAAGTGGACTTGTAACAACTGTTATAGTTACATTCAAAATTTAATGTTGCTATCAATGTATATCAATAAACTTGGCATCAAAACATTGTTTGTAATTCAAATTTTAATATAATTTTAATATCTCTATTTCAAAAAGAAATATTTGAATAAATTTCCAGTCTCCACTTTTATGTATCATGTGACACTTCTTTGCATGGAATTGCCCATTTTAGAAGTTTTCCCACCCCTAATTTCCAAGAATTCACACACTTATACATTAGGTACCTCTGAACTAAAATGAAATGTATACCACTTATTCTTGTTTTAATGAGTTATATGCTATAAACTGAAACTTGCATGTTATGTCCCTCCTAGCGCATGCTGTCTTTAAAAAATGTGAATAATTCTTTTTGATATTTTCTAGTGGATTATTTATAAACAATAGAAAAAGTTTTTAATTTACTGCTGTATTTTCCTTATGAAGTTACCTCATTCTAACTATTGGTTTTGAGTCATTCTGTGTCATTTTCACAGTTTGTTATCACCAAGATTGCCTCAACCGATAAGGAATATATATTTTTTTTCCACATATGTTAGAAAGCAAGTTAAGTTACAATAGTTTTGGGACTTAATGTTTAGCATTAACATATTTTGTGTTCTAAGTGGCATAGTAAAAATAAATAAAGGTTAAGTAAAATATTAACAACACCCCTACAAAAAAAAAAAAATTTACATTGAGACCCTGAGAACAAAAAGGTACAGACCCACATGTAAGTACTGTTACGTCTCTGGTCGTTTGTTAATTACTCGTAAAAATTCTTTCCGAAGAACTTCAGTGATACAAGTCCTTTCTCAAATAAAACTAGTTTATTCTTTCTCAATTGAACTTTGCAATACACTTAATTTCCACAGTCACCTTAACTTAAACACACGCTACAATTTACAATAAACGATTCACGCACTTTACTTACTACCACGCTTGACTCAATTGTTCGTCTATATCTTCAATCTCTCTGTCTGCTATACAATTCCAATTAATTGTCTGATGCACTTATATACAAGAATAGAGGGCGCCTAGCAAATACTAGATTATTCGGGATGTTCCATGATTTTTCTAGAACTCATTACATGTTACTAGCGTCACGTGACTTCCGCTGTCATAACACTGACCCTTCCTTAGTATTGTTCATCCTGAACAATAGCCATGTACAGTAAACCAATAGAAATTTAACAATAATTTAATTAAATGTACAGAATTTAGAAACACAAAATTAAAATTCAACAAAGTCTCTTAATTTTACAGGACGTATCTTCTTCCATACTGGTCTCCATCTCGTATGCTTCTTCTTCACGTGGGGTTCATCTGCTCCATCGGGTATTGTCCTATTATCGGTAACAGTCACATCAGTGGTAGTAACTTCATCAAGGGCTTCACTGTTTGCCTTCTCAAAACTGGGTAGAGTTTCTTCTTCGACAGTGGCTTTTTCAGATGACACGTATTTAGTAGCGTCATTTGTTTCATTGTTCACTTCGTTCCAACTGAAATGTCCTGGACCGTGATAACACCAAAGCCTGTTGTCATGCACCACCTTTGGCTTACCTCGACGACCACATTTTATCCGGAAAGTCATGTCTGAGAGACAATCCACTATGTCATATTGGCCTTCCCACAGAGATGACAAATTAGGAGACTTCCCTTTGGTCTTCCTGGGATTATACAACCACACCTTGTCTCCTGGTACAAAGCTGACTTCAGTAGATCTCTTATCATAACATAACTTCATCGAATCAGTAGACATTTTCAAATTTGAACGCACTTGATGGTGAATATTATCCATCCTTTCCGATAACACTTTCACAAATTCTGACACATTTTCACGCAACTCTTCATAAGGTGGGCGTCCTATTAACAGATCCATTGACAACCGAAGTTCCCGACCAAACATCAACTTTGCAGGAGTGTATCCAGTGGCTTCATGCTCTGCTGTCCTATAGGCCATCAACAGTTGAGGGAGTAAGACATCCCAGTCATCTTGGCGGCTATTACAAAACTTTGCCAAGTCCTGTCCCAGTTGTACTTTTATACCATCCCATCAGACTGTGGATGAAGTGGCGTTGTCCTGGTCTTTCATACGCCAAACAACTTGCAGCATTCATGGAACACAGCTGATTCAAAGTTACGGCCTTGGTCTGAATACAGTTTGTATGGCATACCAAATCTGAAGAAGAAATCACTCATAGCCGAAGCTACAGTTGTAGCTTCCTGATTTGGTATTGCATATGCCTCAGGCCACTTGGTGAAATAATCCAACACCACACAAATGTACTTGTTTCCTGCATGAGTTTGGGGCAAAGTCAACAGCTACTCTTTCCATTGGTGCGCCAACTTGACATAACTTCATTGGAGCACATCC